TACATGCACACACATAGATGAAATATGACTTAGACAGGTTATTGCAAGGTACTTGAAGAACTCGTTTGAAAGAAAAACATGAAATTACCATGATACATGTCCACAAAACGTGACAATCCCATGGTACTGTTCGGTAGTTTATAATTAGATGAGATCTCCAGCAGATTAATATATATATATATATATATATACATGCACACACATAGATGAAATATGACTTAGACAGGTTATTGCAAGGTACTTGAAGAACTCGTTTGAAAGAAAAACATGAAATTACCATGATACATGTCCACAAAACGTGACAATCCCATGGTACTGTTCGGTAGTTTATAATTAGATGAGATCTCCAGCAGATTAACAGGTGATGTAGGAAACTCTTCAGGTGTGGGTGAGAGACGCAGTCAGTCGTGAGCGGCCCGTATGGCACAGATTCCCAGAATGCCATCTGTTATCTCAGCGTCAGAGTCTCTCTGTCCTCATGACCGCTGCTGGAGTTACAACTGATCAAATGGAACAGTTTAACAGTTTTAAACATAAAAGCTCTTTTAACAATTTGTTTTGTTTTGTTTTTGACATGAGGAACAACAAAATGTATTTAAGCACTAATTTATTATCCAAAAGCCAATGTTGTAAAATATTAAAATAATAATGAAGAGAAAACTGAATTTGTAAAATATCAGAATTAGATGCATATATGATGGTGTCATCAGCATAAAGTTGAACATTACAATGATTGAAAATTAGCTGTAAATTATTAACATAAATAGAAAAAACAAGTGGTCCTAATATTGAACCTTGGGGCACACCTCTGTTGAACAAAAAAAATCTGATTTATTCCCTTACATTGTTTTCTGTTATGCAGGAATGAATTAAACCACATAATTGCATTTGCAGAAAGACCAATAGTATGGAGTTTATCTAAAAGTAAGTATCAATCAAGTAAATCAAATGCTTTAGATAAATCAAGATAAATCAAGTCTTTTTCACAGGAGAAACATCTGAGAAGCAGGAGAGTTTTTGAGCAAGTCCTCATTTGTTCTGCATTTATTCTCATTGCTGTCTTGGACGAGAAACAGTTGATATATTAAGAAGATCTTTTTAGCAAATGTAATTTCTCCCGTAGTATCAGTGTGTGGTTGTAAATCTCACATGCTGTGTGTCTGTGAGTCAGTGTTATATTAGATCAGCGAAATATTATTACCGTTTTTGTTGACTCATGATAGAGTTACCATGTAAGTTAGGAGGTTAGACCAGTGTGCGTTTCACTGCATGATTCAGTTTATTAAAATGCATTTAGAATGATCACAAAATTCAAGATATGGGGGCAGAAATGTATATATTTATATAATTTCATATAGTTAATCAGTATGACACAAAGATGTTTTTTTTCCAACAAAAAGCAGCATGATTACAAATGTGATATTTATTTTATACTGCAGTCCAATAAACAAGAATTTAATATTAAGACACTTACATTTTAGACACAATATTGACTGTTTTTGCTCTATTTCGCCAACAAATATAATTCCAATTTGCGTCTCTGAGCAAAATGTCTGTGCACGTCTCTGCTTGCGTCTGTAAATCTGAGCTTTTCCATTGTGAAGTAACTGTAGCCTAACTGCCGCTCTCTCTGCTTTCACCATAATTTCAAGCAAATGGAAGATGTCTGCCATCACTTATTAGAGGGGTTTGTGAAAGTGTTAAAGTGGTCCCTCAGCCTCGCTCTGATTATGGCTCAACTCTGTTTGTCAGAAATGTGCGTGGCACTCGCTGTTGTCTTTGCCGAGCCGATGATGGCCGCTCATTCCTCTTGTTTAGATGAGATTTACTGTGCCGTAAGGACATTGCACTTCAAAGCGGTCGTTTTATCAGACAATATATTCAGCCAGTGTTGAATATAAATCACCTCAGGCGGCTTTTAAAAAGTTTTTAGGCTGAAAGTACAAGCATGTGTTGACTTTTAGGGCCTGGCATCTAAATAAGGAAGAATAGATGGAACAAAACATGCAAATTTAAGAGTTTAATTCAATATTTGGGCTGTCCTGATCAATGTTGCAACTAGTTTAAACTAAAGTTGATTATTGGAGTACATTTCACTACAAAATCTGAATTTCACATTAAATTCAATGGGTTGCTTGTGTTTCTTTGTCAAATTGACTAGCAGTTTCTGAAATAATTTTTGCTTGCTTTTTTCAATTAAATGTTTTCAAGTAAATTTATTTCAGTGTAGTCAGTCAGCATTGGTAGATTTTGAAAGTAAATATGTATTTTAGCATACTTTTCATGTATATATATATATATATATATATATATATATATATATATATATATATATATATATATATATATGTGTGTGTGTGTGTGTGTATAATTAAAATAAGTAGTATATAATTGAAATAAATCTGAAATAAAATATAAATATTAGGGGGAAATTGTAAAAACTTTAAACCAGTAAAACTGAAGTAAAAATAAAGCAAAAAAAACAAATCTAATACAATTTCAGCAAAACAGACAATATTGACAATAATGTGTCTAAAATTTAACACACTATTAACTTCTTGTTTATTGAACCGTTGTATAAAATTGTATTAAAATGTATTGGGAAAAACAGCACGTGCTTGTTTGAGATTGCTAAACTAAATCAATATTATATAAATATAAGATAAAAACCCATACAGCGTCATTTATTTTTATTTTTTGCCTCATATCTTGAATTATAGGTGCATATAACTGCATTCTAATAGACTGCATCACACAGTCAGTCATCCTGCATCGTGTTCATCAGCCTCTCCGTGCAATTTAAGATGAACCTAATACCTAATACAATTAATGCATTTATTTTATGTTTATGGCACGCAACATGGCTATCAATTATTCATCAGTTACCAGTGCTGGTCAGTTACCATCAGAATCGACAGTCTGTCAATGGAGTTTAGCTTCTATTAATTTCGTAACACTCCATTAATACGTGTGATTTCTGACATGAATCTGTCGTTCTTTCACAAGATCAGTTTCGGCGGAGCATCAGCAGCTGGACTCCAGAAATCCCACTCCAGGAGAAACTTACACGGCTGCTTGGAAAACGTGCTTTACAAGGACATCAGCGTGATCGAGCGAGCCGAAGAGCTGCAGGTCTCCATCAGAGTTAGTGTGTGAACACAGTCACGTCTGCAGCTGCTTTATTTGGCCTGCTAGCGATTGTCAGATGTTGGCTGCTTCATTCTTCCATAATGAGAGCTTTGTGTTTCCGTGACCCTTACCATGTTCTCCTCCATTATACAAGGTTTTTTCTTTTTTTACAATCATTGTCTTGGGAATTTGGGGGTTAAACCAATTACAGCCCTTTAATTCATTGTCGTAATGGCCGTGACATTGGTTTCAAGATAATAGCCAGGAAGGCAAATGCATAATTTATGAAGCAGACATCATGACTGTGGTGCTTCACTATTGCACATGAGAAATGCTCTTGGTCTTACTGCAGTATTTGTGTCTCTCGCAGGGGAACGTCAGCTTTACATGCACCGAATCCATAGACGTGCCGGTGACCTTCTCCAGTCCTGGAAGTTTCCTCGCTTTGCCGTGGGTCTCCGGTGGAGAAAGCGCCTCGGTCGCTCTGCAGTTCAGGACCTGGAACAGAGCGGGCCTGCTGATGACCTTTGACCTGCAGCATAACGCGGGAACGCTGTGGCTCTATCTGAGCGAGGCCAGAGCGCGACTGCAGATCCATAAGACCGGCCGGATCGTGACCGACATCACCGCAGGTTCGGCTCATGCATTATGGGATATAATATATTTGGAATGAAATAACAGCACGTATATACCATAGTTTCAGTTTATTTGACAGTAAAAGCAAAATCCATCTCTCTTGTGTGTCAAGAGTAAAGCAAAGTCGACATCAATGGCACCTGCTGCTGTGAGAAATGCAGTATGTATGGAAATCTCTATGTATGAACATTTGCATCACAAAAGAACTTTCTGGCTAAAACTAGTTTTAAACCAAATGAATGCAGAATAATGAATTACTTGAACTAAATTTTAGGTACCATGCTTAATATGAAGTATTATGTGAAACAGTACGCGGTATGCAAACATAAACATTGCAGTATCTTGAAATATTGTTCAGAATTATATTCATCTTAGAAATAAATGCTTATTTTGCATTTTTTATATATAAATGTATATATATTTTTTTTAGTTACTTACTGTATATAATCTATATATTTTTTTTTTTAAATTGTCCAAAACATTATAGTTTATATATTTATATGTAGTCTAGTTTTTAGTTTTAATTTATGTAGTTGTAGTTATTTTAGTACTTCAATGTCAACAAAATGAAAATGAGAAATTTTGCCTTGGCAACTAGCTGAAATAAAATGTTTTATTTTATTTTTTGAAAATATTTATTTTAATATTTATAATTTTTCAGTTAGTGTTATTATCATTAACTAAAGCTAAAACATTAAAAAAAAAAAATTTTGTTACTTAAAATAAATGTGAAATTGAAATTAGCTATAATTTTTTTTATCTGCTCCGCTAGTTGCCATGGAAACATATTTAATATTCATTTAGTTTAACTTGAAATACTTAAATAACTTTAACTAAAGTAAAAAAAAAGTGTAGAATAAATGTTAACTAAAATAAACAATTAAAAAAACTTTAAACTGAAGTACTTAACTAAAATTAAAATGGTATATTTTAGTGTTGATAAATTATTATAGTTATTATTTATTTTCATATTTTATTTTTTCATGTTAATTTTAGTTATTTTAAAAAAAAAGTTTTTGTCATTTTTATTTTCATTTTGTCATTAAATATGTAGTTTATATAGTATATATAGTTTTTATTAACTTTTTAGTTGTAGTTTATTTAGTTTTAGTTATTTTTATTTAGTTATGTTGCCTTGACAACTAGCTGAAATAAAATAAGTTAATCATATATGTGTGTGTGTGTGTGTGTGTATGTTTTTTTTTTGTTAATATTGATTTTATTTTAAGGAATAAAATGTTTTTATGATGTTAGTTTTAGCTTTATACATTTCATTGTGAAATGCATTAAACTCTGGTTGTATATATAACTGTAGCGTCTGGAAGTCAATAATCATGCAGATTTATGTTACAAACTTATAGAATTGTACAGTAAGAAAGTTATTTCCTTTAACCAGGAAATTAACGTTCTTAGAATTGACAAGACGGTTGACCCTGAGTGGTCAGCTAAATATCTACAGTGGATCTAAAATATGAATAGTTAATTATAACTAGTTATGGTTAATTATTCATATTTCCCCATGAGCTGATTCGCTACATAACGCACCTTTGATAAATATAGTTAGCTGACTATATTTTGTGCATACTGCAAAATTAGCGTCAGTAGTATGCTAGTGTGTTAAAAATGCATATTTAATCCAATTTTGTGTGAAAATGTCTGAACTTTTGGCAATCCAATCCAATATTGCATCAAGACAGAGTTGCTGTCAGGTTCATTTGACACAACGTAAATAAAGTAAAGATCAAGCGCATTGCATTGTTGGATACAGTATTTAACAAAGTGTGCTGTAGTTGTGTACTGCACATTTTGGCAGATATCATCTGTTTATTTCATGCATACAGAAAATATACATACTGTACACGATATACACACTGCATTTCTGAACTAACATGAGTAGTTTGCTAGTATATCATCACATATATACTCTTAAGTTTAAGGCAGAAATCTGTTCTTGCGGTTTATGTAAAAATGATCTCCTAATGCCTGTTATTTTGCCTGATCCACATGCTGGCTGTTTCTCCACAGGTGCCACTTTAAATGACGGTCAGTGGCACTCGCTGGAGCTGGCTGTGCGTCGAGGGCGTCTCGCAGTCACCCTGGACAGAACCGACAGCTCTACAGCGTCCACTTCCTTCCCTGTCGCGCCTGACAGCCAGCTATTCTTAGGCGGTAAGAGCAACCTTTAGCCATCCATCGCCTCCTGCTAACACAAAGCAACACGTTAGCTCAGAGTAATTTCCCTCTACTCGAGCCCAATCCTTCACGTTATTCAATCCATCCTTTCACTCAACAAACAGCTTCTGCTGAGAAAAGCACATTGGTTTAGCTTTCTAGCGGTTTGGGGCTGAAACTCTCTAAGGCTTAATTGCCTTCAGCTTAGTAACTGGAGAGAGAGAGCGTTACGCCGTCTATGAATGCACAACTGCAGTGGTTTTGCCTTGAGCCACAGTAAATAATGCATCATATCCTCATGCATGTGATGAGATCTGCCAATATGACAGTCATGTAGGACAGTTTGGGAAATGTCATAACAGTACGTGAAGCATTTGTAGGTCATTTCCAACGAGCAATTTGTCAATTTGCATTATTAGCATTATTGTTATTTTTAGTATTGTTATTTGGTGGAAAAAACATTAATATAAACTAAAATATAACTAAATTATTTAACTGAAATAAAACAAAATAAAATATAAAAAATAAATAACAATAATAATAAGTATAACAAATTAAGCTTATTTTATTTCAGCTAAATAAAATGTAAAAAATTAATAAAAAACTATTTATTTTATAAAAATGTATTTCCACTAGTTGCCATGGAAAAATTTATTATTTTTTGTTTAGATTAACTTGAAAACTTTAACTAAAACTGTGTAAAGTCAATATTAACTGAAATTAAATAAACTATAAAAATTAAGCTTATTTTGTTAAATAAATGCAAATTGCTAAGAACTATATAGACATGTATATTAGGGCTGTCATCGTTAACGCGTTAACGCATGCGATTAATTTTACAATCCTTAACGCGTTAAAATAATTTAACGCAATTAACGCAAAATTACTGAAGCACAATTTCTATTCTAACCCTTTAACCCAATTTTGCTTCTCTGCTTGCGATCAGATCATTTTAAGCCGCTAAACTCCGGGAAAGTTTTCAGTCCAATGATCCAGTAAGCGAATGCATTCAAACAATCCGTCCAAAACAGCGCTAATATAAAAGAAACCCGGCTGATTACATCAGAGATTGCAGAGAGAACAGAGCCTCGCGTTGCATTTTAAGTTAATTATTCATTCCAGTGTGTTTGGCTTTAAAACACGAGCTTTGTCATATTCTGTGATTGTCTCTGAAGAGCGCGAACCCTCACACGTCGCGCGCTTGTGTGAAGTACAGACTGAACGAATTGTCAACCAGTGTTGCCAAGTCCGCGGTTTTCACGAGGAGTTGGGCTACTTTAACACTGTTGCCGCGGGATGTTTTTCATGTCCGCGGGTTAAAGCGACCCCAATAACGTGATATTTAGCCCCTGGAATGCAACTTTTACCAGGGGAACCCCATCAAAAAATTTGTATTTTACCCACCCAAACATGAGTTTTACCGGGGGATCGCCCCTGAAAAGCAATTGGGCTAGTTTTGGGCTAGTTTTGGGCTAGTTTTGAGTAGCAATTGGGTGGGTTTTGCTGTGAAAGCCTGGCAACCCTGTTGTCAACACATCCCACCGCTGTACGGCCAGATGAGACGCAAACTACGTTTTCTCGACTGGATAACCAGTTTCGCTACTAATGTTTTGATGGATGAAGACTGCAATCAAGGTAAAGACGATTGCGGTAGCGTTCAGGTGTCGTACAGTAAGCACGCGTGAGTCCGTTATAATAATGCGTGTATGAGTGCTCTTGACGCACTGATCGCACATTGTATTTATGCACAGGCACAGACATTTCCGTACATTCACGTTGTTTCCACACACATTCACGATAATGTTTTGATTTGTCATGTTTATGTTGCTGTGTTTAGTTATACTGAATGGATCCATGTACTGTAGTAGATATATGCAGTCAACAGGTGGTTGGTTTAGGTTTTTTTGGCATCTCCATGTGGTCCTGTTCGGTATCACACCTTGGCTTCTCTAAAATGTAAAAAAAAAAAGCTCTTAGCTGTTGCACTGTACACATACTATACATTATATATATATATACAGGTGCATCTGAATAAATTAGAATGTCGCACACATTCACGATAATGTTTTGATTTGTCATGTTTATGTTGCTGTGTTTAGTTATACTGAATGGATCCATGTACTGTAGTAGATATATGCAGTCAACAGGTGGTTGGTTTAGGTTTTTTTGGCATCTCCATGTGGTCCTGTTCGGTATCGCAACTTGGCTTCTCTAAAATGTAAAAAAAAAGCTCTTAGCTGTTGCACTGTACACATACTATACATTATATATATATATACAGGTGCATCTCAATAAATTAGAATGTCGTGGAAAAGTTCATTTATTTCAGTAATTCAACTCAAATTGTGAAACTCGTGTATTAAATCAATTCAATGCACACAGACTGAAGTAGTTTAAGTCTTTGGTTCTTTTAATTGTTATGATTTTGGCTCACATTTGTTCCGGGAGGGGGCGAACTGTTATGGTTATGATCTGTTTTGATTTGGTTTTCTGCGTTTCCTTCCTTGTTTGTTTCCATGGTTTTTGATTAATTAGCTCCACACCTGTTTCTGTTTCTCCCTGATTACGTTCCCAGTATTTAAAACCGGTGTTCTCCATTATTCCTTTGTCTGCTATTGAGTTGATTCCCCTATGTGCTACGTGAGTGTCTGCCTGCCCTGTATTTCCCCGAAGCAAGGATTAAAAGACTGTCTTTTGAGTTTACACTTGTGTCTCCTCGTTCCACCTCCGTAGCCATTACGTAACACTGTGTCTGTGACCAGTATTTACTGAGCTTTGATGACTTATGAACCTAATTTATTGTTTACATTTTTACTGCCTTGAATTATTATTTTGGAATAAATTTAAAATGCTTAAAAACACTAAATTGATGAGATTCACTTGGCTTTAATAAACAGAATATTGATTACATTGTTCATGTAAAAATATAAAATAGAGTTTTTTTGTTGTTGTTTTCTGGTAGTGTAAGTAATGTTTACTTAACCAAGAGCATGTGACTGGGATAGGAATTTACATTTGATATTTAAAAAAAATTCAATTCAATTCAGAACACCACCGCACACCATTGATGTGTATATATATATATATATATATATATATATATATGAGGGCTGTCAGTCGATTTAAATTGAGTTCAATTCATTATACAATGTTCCGATTAATTAATCACATATGAATTGCACATTCAATTTGGCTGAGAAATTACCCACAAAAGATCATTTAAAGTCATTATTGTGTTGCATGAGAAAAACATGAAATAGATATTACAAAGTATAATATTAATATTAAAATAACACTGCCATAGCTTAAACGTGTTATTTTGTGTGTATTTGTGAAAGCACGTCCTGACCACTGACTGTTTTTGTGCTCAGGATGTCCGGACACAGAAGACAGCAGCTGCAGAAACCCGTTCAATGTTTTCCGAGGATGCATGCGTCTCATCCGGATGGGCGGCGCTTTAGTGGATCTCATCCGAGTGCAGCAGATGTTGTTTGGGAATTTTAGCGATCTACAGATGGACATGTGTGGGATCGTCGACAGGTAAGCAATTACACTTTTATGTGAACTCACAAAATCATTCCCCTTTCCATTTTCTTCCTCGCTAAATATATGCGTTCAGCTTGATTACCTAAATACAGAGATTAATTAGCCAGAGAAATGGCGCTGAATACTTATTCGCTAAAAGACGCAGATGATGAGCCTCGGGGAGAAACTGCCCTTGTTTAAATATTTATCCATCTGATCAATCGCAATGAATCACTTTCTGCTTTGTTATAAATGCAGCTTTTGTTCACAGTTTAGTTCAAATGGACATACGACTTGTAGAGCTTTTGCAGTGTGGGCTTTCTAGAGTTTCTGTTTATTTGTTTATTTAAATGTTTTTTGCGTCACCGTTTGTGACATGAATGATATCTCAAATTGTGCAGCTTGTTAAGGGGAGTTGTTTTTAAATTATTTAATTTAATTTAAAATTATTTAATTTTAAATGTTATTTTAAATAAAAAAATTATTTCAAATAGTTTTAAAATATTCTCATTTTGTATTAATTTTAAAGCAGAAGTGTGTAATTTCTGTGGCACTAACAATACTTAGGGTTGCACGATAAATGGCAGAGGATTCCCAAATCCAGGTGTGAAAAACTTGTTGCCTCTTTCCCAAAAAGACTCATGGCTGTATTTGATCAAAAGGGTGCTTCTACTAAATACTGAGCAAAGGGTCTGAATATTTAGGACCATGTGATATTTCAGTTTTTCTTTTTTAATAAATCTGCAAAAATGTCAACAATTCTGTGTTTTTCTGTCAATATGGGGTGCTGTGTGTACATTAATGAGGAAAAAAAATGAACTTAAATGATTTTAGCAAATGGCTGCAATATAACAAAGAGTGAAAAATTTAAGGGGGTCTGAATACTTTCCGTACCCACTGTATATCATCAGCCAACGTTATAGATTTTTTATTTCCAAAAGAATAGGTAAATGAGCATGAACAATTAAATATCCAGTTTCCAATATTGGATATTTAACTGTGCATGCTCCTTTCTCATAGTTTTACACTTAAATCACATTTGTTATCATGAAAAGCTCACTGTGCAAAAGTTTATTTTTAAACCTTTAATAATTTATTAACACAGGTAAATGTAATTATTTTAACATGTAAACAAATGTTTATTTAACAAAACATCAATCTTTGTACATTATAATTTTATATAATACGTTTTTTAGGGATGCACCGAAATGAAAATTCTGGGCCGAAACCGAAACCGAACAAAATGAAACACTAGGCCGAAGGCTGAATACCGAACACGGTTTTTCGAGTTTTTTTCCCCATGTATTTTTGCCAATTTGTTTTCACCATTGCATAAATTAAATAGCCAAAATCTGCTTTTTACTGTTTTGTCTTGCTTTTCAAAGAGGAAAAACAATTACAAAACAGCAATTAAAAAATATTTAACGCTGAACATTTTTAACATTCTAACAGACACTATACCAACAAAGCACAATTTAACTTAAAATTAATAAGTTAGTAAAATAATACCCCCTTCTTGAATCAGGCATGTATTTTTACTGTACAATTAAAAGCAGCCTTGCTGAGAAGAGACTTCTTTTAAAACATTAGAAAATATTACTTTTATTCTGGCGGAAACGCGCAGGAAGACCTCAACGCTTCTTTTTGTTGACAGCAGATTTATAAAAGAGTCTCATTACGAGTACGTCGCACGTATAGCATTCTCACGTGCCTTGTAAAAATTCATAAAAATGTGACTGAGCAACTGATGAGTTACACGGTTTCAGCGCAGATTTTCCTCGCGCTTTGGACTTTGAACGCTGGTTAACAAGCAGATCGCTCTCTCAGAATACATGCAATGCGTGCGTGTATTAGAAAACATAACGTTCTGCAGTTTATTTACTAATTGTTTAAGGCCATTTCGCGATTTCAGTCATCATACAGTAACCAGCAACAATCACCCCTTCCTCTTCTCATCGAAGACATGCGCTGCAGTCCAGTGCGTACAGTAGTACAGTGCGAAAATTGTTCAGAAATTCTATATGAATTTGACACAGCTTGTACTGTTTGGAAATTAGATGAAATTACTGACATGAAATGCTTATTTTATAGAATATAATCGTTTATTTTCATTTGACAAGGCTGTTTGTAGATTTTGGCGATATGTTGTGCTTCTGTCCTGCCAAGTACAACAACCAGTGCCAATAATCTCAAAATGGCCAAATATTGGCCCGGCTGCAACTAGTATACAGTATGTTTACTGTACACATTATGCAATCTTTCTAGACTGCCAAAGATGAGATATTTTTACACAAAACTGGATTAAAATTGTCCGTATTCACTGGCCCTTTTATCATTGCACACTGTTTGACGTGCTGTTTGAATGAATAGTAGGCTGTGTTTAGTACATACTGCAGGATTCATTGTGAACGTGTTCTCTGTGCTGTTGACCTGTGTGTTTCGTGTCAGGGAATGTTTGCTTCATTTGGCTTGATGCAGGAATGGATTTCTTTTGCTTTGAGACTGCAGTAAATCTCCTGAAGACAAGGCTGTTTTTGTGACAGTGCAATTTCTTTCTTCTGTGTGTTTGACGCTAAATGCACCGCTGTGACCGAGCTATTGAAAATGAACACGCACACTTACATCTCAAGTGAATATTGTCTTCTCTGACACTCGATGCAGATGTAGATGTGTTGTCTCTGAAAGCTGCGTCGCCTCTGGGTTCTCGTTTACATTCTGAAAGGTCCCGCTCTCGTCTGTCATACTTGTTCAGCGCTGAGGACTTCTGGGATTGCTGTTTGTTTGTTTGTTTATTGTTTTTTTGTTTGTTGTTGTGATGTTTGCAAAGCTATTGCAGCACAGAGTTAGTGATCATTCTGCATCGTTTGTGGCATGAACAATATCCCAGATAGACAGCTAATTTTGTGTTTTTGTATTTCTATTTTTTAATTATTTGAAAATAATCTATATTTACTTAATATTACAACAGTATTTTACTTAATATTTAAGTTAATATTAAAACTTAAATTTGTTTAAAAATTGTGTGTGTGTATATATACATACATATATTTAAAGCTGAAGTGTGTAATTTCTAACATCACTTAGGGCTGCATATATCAGTGATATATTGGTTTCATTGACCAATATTAGACTTTTTTTTTTTTTTTTATAAGTAGCATTAGTCAAAAGTTATCTAAATGTAAAAATATGGTAAATGAGCATGAACAATTAAATATCCGCAGTTTACAGTTTTCTATATTTAATTGTGCATGCTCATTTCTTCTATTTTTACACTTAGATGACCTTTCTTATCATGAAAAGCTTATTTAAAGTACATTTTTAAATGTTAATAATTTAATAACACTGGTCAATATAACTGTTTAATAACTTCAACAAATGTAAACATTTAATTAAATGTGTTACTTGCCATTTCTTTATAATGAGACATTTCTGGCAATTTTTTCAGTGTACATTATACTGTTATATTTTTATATAAATACATTTTTATTTCGGTAAACTAAGTTAATATGAGAAATGTTTCAACTATCTGATATACAGTGGGTACGGAAAGTATTCAGACCCCCTTCAATTTTTCACTCTTTGTTATATTGCAGCCATTTGCTAAAATCATTTAAGTTAATTTTTTTTCCTCATTAATGTACACACAGCACCCCATATTGACAGAAAAACACAGAATTGTTGACATTTTTGCAGATTTATTAAAAAAGAAAAACTGAAATATCACATGGTCCTAAGTATTCAGACCCTTTGCTGTGACACTCATATATTTAACTCAGGTGCTGTCCATTTCTTCTGATCATCCTTGAGATGGTTCTACACCTTCATTTGAGTCCAGCTGTGTTTGATTATACTGATTGGACTTGATTAGGAAAGCCACACACCTGTCTATATGATATATATATATATATATATATATATATATATCTGTATATACAGTATTATTGAGTCTGCAGGCATGAGGCGAGGGCAGATGACGTTCCTATCACTCCATGCAGAAACAGCAGCTCCGCTGTGAGGCTTATTACCTCTGCTAAAGGGCTGTAGGTTGAACTCAAATAACATTGCTGTCCATAACTAAGAAATATGGGATGGCAGCAGCTCTCATTGACTTTACATGTGCCCCATGTGAACCCACGGGCCCTGTGTGCAAAATGAGTGTGGACTAGAGTGAAGCTGAACGCCTTTATTAACCCCACAGCAAAGATAATATGAGGCTGCTGCTGTCTTTTGAGTGAGTTTGAATGACTAAAGTTGACATTGTAATGTTTTGTAGTGCAAATGAACCAATGTCAATTGGCAATGTCAGTATATAGTATGAACACTGTGCACACACTGATCTCACTGCATTTTGTTGTACATTTTATTTTCAGAAACTAGTATATACTGCAGTTTTCCGTATGGATCTGCTGTTGAGTTTTCTGGTGTTAAATAAGGTGCCGAGCTGAAGGTTGACCTGAGGAAGTTGTTTTATATACAGTATTATTGAGTCTGCAGGCATGAGGCGAGGGCAGATGACGTTCCTATCACTCCATGCAGAAACAGCAGCTCCGCTGTGAGGCTTATTACCTCTGCTAAAGGGCTGTAGGTTGAACTCAAATAACATTGCTGTCCATAACTAAGAAATATGGGATGGCAGCAGCTCTCATTGACTTTACATGTGCCCCATGTGAACCCACGGGCCCTGTGTGCAAAATGAGTGTGGACTAGAGTGAAGCTGAACGCCTTTATTAACCCCACATCAAAGATAATATGAGGCTGCTGCTGTCTTTTGAGTGAGTTTGAATGACTAAAGTTGACATTGTAATGTTTTGTAGTGCAAATGAACCAATGTCAATTGGCAATGTCAGTATATAGTATGAACACTGTGCACACACTGATCTCACTGCATTTTGTTGTACATTTTATTTTCAGAAACTAGTATATACTGCAGTTTTCCGTATGGATCTGCTGTTGAGTTTTCTGGTGTTAAATAAGGTGCCGAGCTGAAGGTTGACCTGAGGAAGTTGTTTTGTTAT